CCACGCTCATTGTGTTGAAATGAGGCCGACCTCAATCGTGCACTTGGTCGAGCTCTCTGACGGACGTCGATTCGATGGGTCGGTGAAGCCGTGCGATTTGCGCGAGCCAGCTAAGCTGAACCCGACTCGATAAGTACGAAGGGTGACGCACTGTTTCGTACGCGCGATAGCTAGGGCAGAGTTGGTCATAGTTGCTCGGACATTGACGATAGCTCAGTCACCAAAGGTCACGACAGTTTTATGTCAGGTTTTTAGGTCAGGGTTATCAGTGGACCTTTATCAAACATTTTGTAAAAGGGTATCACCCCTTTGTGATGGTATTCTACCCCTTGTTTATCTTTATGGACATTCTTATCGGCGGTTGTAAGTAAATAAATGTGTAGGGAAGTAAGTAAGTAGGTAAGATGAGGGAAGGAATTCGAAAACCGCGTCATTGAGTGGTTATGGTCAACCGAGAAGCTCCTTTTTACTATTTTACAAGTATGCCCCTTCTCGATCTCCTTGAAGAAAACTAGTATAGTCATCGCTCAAACCCCTCTTGACTTTGCTCGTAATGAAGCTACACTTGTGCTCATTAGGATTGAGCATTTGTGAGTGTGATGGCATCCTCAACAGCTTTGCCTCGCAAAATACACTCTCAGCAGTCTTATAATTCACGTTAATGTGCCTTGAAATCACACGTCAATCCTATCTCTCTCTCTCTCTCCAAAAGCCAGAAAGATTCGCTCGTGCACTTCACTGTCAGCACAGCTGAACCGGACTCGCGCGCCTGACGAAAAATATGAATGAATGTGGACACAGCATTTGTTTTATAACCCACCTCTTTACGTCTCCCTTTACTTTTCGGACCAAAGCGGTCTTCTTTGTAAGCAAATCGAACGTTTACCCTTTGAATGTTCTCCACAAAACAGCGATAACAACGACAGAAAGATTAAGCGAGGGATTTGACGTCAATTTTCCTTTTAAAAACTGTGCCGCTTTCATTAGCCTCGTCAAAATGATACGAATGCATCAGGATATTACCTAGCATAAAAGTGATGATAACTTTGTAGACGCTGCATTTAACAATCACAGAGATCAACAGAAGAGGAAACAACCTCAACAATAGTTCGCTCAAAAGTCTTAAGTAGCACTGATGATGAAGCAATAGGCCGGGCCTTCCCATTTTCTATCTTAGGCATTGGAGTGATGTGAACATCATGCCATTTACCAACTAGTCTACCTGACTAACTGTAATTGCCTTTGTGAACATATGCCCTACAGAAACTAGTAATGTTTATTTCCGTCCAACTTGCAATTCCATCGGAAGAGTGCTACCGTTCATTATTAGGGTCCCAACGGTGGTCATTACTTGTTCGCTCAGTCTGCTTCCTAACCGCAAGTTTGTAACACGTTACTGATGCAATGTTGTGTAAATTGGTGGATTTTCCTTATGCAGAAATGCTTTTTCTGACAACGACTATCCAATTTAAACTTCAACAATATATCTCCTTTTTTCTAACGAATGGACTGCGTTCTGTTTCGTTCAATTCTACGGATTTAGCAAGAAATGAACAGTTAACGCGTTGCTGGTTCTGGTTGTTAGTCCATTGATGAACAGCTATCCACTCCAATAACCTCAACCCAAGCATATCAATAAATTATGCTGTTCAAGTGATCCACGTATTGAAACGTGCATCGCTCAGAGTTCACCGTAAGGACAAACTCGTCTCTGGTCGTAGTTACTGTCGTGACCTTTGGTGACTGAGCTATCGTCAATGTCCGAGCAACTATGACCAACTCTGCCCTAGCTATCGCGCGTACGAAACAGTGCGTCACCCTTCGTACTTATCGAGTCGGGTTCAGCTTAGCTGGCTCGCGCAAATCGCACGGCTTCACCGACCCATCGAATCGACGTCCGTCAGAGAGCTCGACCAAGTGCACGATTGAGGTCGGCCTCATTTCAACACAATGAGCGTGGGAAGACAAGTGCTCCATCCGGGTGTAGAACAGACGTGTGCTCAATTGGCCAACAGGGTGCGCTGAACGGAAGGGGATCGAACCACGGCGTTTCCTTCTCAAATCGGAGTGACAGTTTCGCAAATCAATCCCAAAATGGTAATGGTATTGCACTGATTTCTCCTACAAACATTGGTGTTCCGTGCGCAATGTCTACGATAGTGTCTGTATGCATGCAGCCTTCCGTTCGTTTGTTTTTGGTGTTGCCAATTTATTCTGAAGCTGATTGTTTGATCCATTCGTTATGGCCAGCGGAGGTCGGCATGGGTGCCGCCGGTAGCAGTCATGATTTCAGTGACTGACTAATCTCAACACTTGATTCACGAATAAGCCAATGTCTCAAACACACTAAGGGGAGCTTTCGACCCAGATAGTAACAGCTATGATGTCCTTTGACCGATGACTTGTCCAATTTCTTCAGTGTGATAGCAAGTACAGCTGGGCCTATCGTTCACACACATGGGCAGAGGGGTGTCAGTGCGTCGGACATTTGAAATAACGCCTTGGTTGTTGTACTACTAGAGGCAGCCATGCTAATTTCACATTCAAGAATACTGTGAGTTTGCCATGGTATGCAGTGATATTTTTAGGTAGTAAAATAGAGAAATCGTGTACCAGTTGATATCGAAAAGTCAGTTTTGGAATAGTGCAGAAGCCATCCATAAGTTGTTTTAGGAATTACAATTACAGAATAGACTTTACCATCTATATCATAGAGACATCGTGGAGTTCCTTGGACTATGCAGTGATTTCGCTAATTCGGTATTTCAACACTTTCTGCTTCTCCCACTTATAGGTAGACGCCTGCACACTAGTATCTTAAATGAAACAATCTCCAACTGCTTTATGTTCCTTCCACTCAATAGCAATCCGATCAGTGAACAGTGTCATGTGGGCGTCACGCTACGTCAAATGTCATTGGTTGAAGGTGACATTATATGTGGGTTGAACAATGACCAACCTGTACGTCGGTGACAGATGGTGTAAGAACCAGGAAAGGCGACATGCTGAGGGTATCCACATCGCAGTCAAGACGTACATCCTTACGTACACAGTTGTTTTAGGTATGCAAAAACGTGGAAACATATTGGAGAATGCGACTTCTAATGGGTGCGACATGGTAGGTGATTAACTATAAATTCCAACTGCACTTATGTTGTGCTTTGTTTTCTGACATTAATCTCAGTTCGATGACGCTGCCTCTCTGTCGAATGTCTTTGCGTCTTGAGCAACTTTGTACGTCACATTCATCTATACTGTGAAAGCAAAATATTGCTGGTCACAGGACAACATGGCCGTTCTTCTCTGAAATAAGAAAGCACACAAGGAACCGCATTCGCTTTGTGCTCATCAAATCGACCGAGTTATCGTAGGACAGAAACAACCAAGCAGATCGATGCGAACAGTAAGCACATAAACCCAAGACCCCAAAAGGCGAAAAAACTGTTTGCTCATTTTGCTGATCTGTTTCCCTACACACTGCCTACGATTTAAGTATGCGCGCAGTGGTGGTCCGGTTGTAATGTCACCAAATTATCACCCCGCCGGGATGTGTGTTCGAATCCCATCACCACTACCTGACTTCCCTCCCTCATTGTGCGTTGAATAGCAGCCCTTTGATTGGCCACCCTCCCTTCCTGAAAATCACATCTTTGTACACTCAATAAAGGAAGTAAAATGAAAAAGATGAAGAAATATGAGAAGAACAATGCATCTGGACCTATTTTGTTATATGAGACTAGGTGGCATCACCTAATGCGTAGCCTTCCAAGGGACGCTTGATCCAACCGACGCTACAGTGGAACCCATGGGATTACAGAATACAATCGCCATCTAACTGTCTTCTGGGTCAGATAGGAGCATCGCATTGGATATCCCAAGTAAACCGTACACACTCCCCTGGGTTGGTAAGTAGCATAACCCCACCAGCGACATAGACTACAAAAATGAACACCAGCTTTACAAAACTGTTCACTTCCTGTTGGTCTTAGTTTATATCATGTTAAGGGGTTGACACGATGTGTGTTTCATGAGCGGTTATATGGTGATAATAATACTACTACGATTACTATTACCAATACTACTGTTATGATTCCACAAGACGGTGCTCGTCGAGGATAGCCGTACATTGAGGATTTCAGATGGGATATCAACAATTTGCCATGCATAACATAAAACATCTTATCGGAAACATACCATCGCCATTCCTGGCAGCACATCGAATAATGCATAGGATAGTCGGTAATTATTCTTTCAGACACATCACTTGGCCCTCGGTGGTCTTTTTATATTTTTGATCATTGAAAGTTACCTACTACTCACAAGTGAATAGTATATCACACTACGACTACGACTACTACTACTACTAATTATTATTATTATTATTATTATTATTATTATTATTATTATAACAAAACATTTACCATGCCTCGGATTTGGACCGGTTGCAACAAAATGTGGTTAGACTGTTAGAAATTTGCCATACAACAACGAATTTATTTCCGTGATAAAACGAGTAGGAAAGTTCGTCGGTCTTAGTGGGGATTCAAACATTCAACCATGAACAACGAGCTTTCCCTTAGAATTAATCCAGTGGGCTTGGGGTTACTGATAGGGTGAAGGTGCCTGGGCAAACAGCATACATACATGTTAACTGGTGAATTCCATATACATCTTTTATTTTTGATAATGACCAATGCGACAGGTAAGACCTCTTACCCCACCCGATAGGGTATACACAGTATACAAGCGTAGGTAGCGTCCAAGCGCGGGTTTGAATCTTACTCAGGTGCAGATAATTTCGCAGTCAGATTAAACGAAAAACAATAAAACAAGAATAATTACGTTCAGTGATTCCTAATCACGCTCTGATAAAATCTACTGTGAGACAATCATTATACGAATATTGTCAGTGGGCAGAATCCAATAGATTATTCGTTTGAAGAAGGAAACCAGAGAATCACTGAAGGCGAACGTGTGTCTTTATCTCCCCAAAAATGGCATTATGGTCGACTTGTGAACAGAATATTCCAAACCACAGTAGGGCACCATCGCGTCCCGGTTGATAGAATGGAGCCTAGTGAGATCTGGTGAGTCAGATGCCACAAGCTGTTTAACCAAAACTGTGGATGTAAATAAGCCAATAAAGCGGGTGGGATTTGATGCATTGGTAAAGCCATGGAGATAACCGAGGCCGAAACCAAGGCGAATAAAAAAGAAAATATAAAGGTGATTAGGAATACGACACCGAAAGAACTGAGAAATAGAATCAGAAATGTGACCGAAAACATGAGCGGGAAGGCGAACAGAAAAGCGATAGAAAAGTAAGCAAGGAAGGCGACATTCGGATCGGATTCACGGATCCATTCCTTACTCTCGTTCACATCGGTGTCAAGCTGAATATCTGGATTTTCATTCGTGTCATTACCAAATGGCCACATGTAATCGCATGCTTTAGCTATGTAATTTCCAGGCCAAGGCACGGACCATTCATCTGAGTGACATTTTGAAACCAAGGTTAAATCGGGCTGGGAATACTGTTTCACCTGGCCCTCATCCGTGACAATCTTCGATTCAGTACCTTGTTCTTGCATAGTCAACCGCTCTGAACACTGGTCCATCACTGCACCTTTGGAGTCGGTTTCGTGGGCAAACGACCATATATAGTCACACGCTCGTGAAACGTATCCACCAGACCAGGAGATGTAGGTATTGGGTGCATGTAACCTGGAGATCACGGGGATTCTGGTCGGTAGAAATCTCCTCACAACGCCGTCACCGGACGGAATAGATTCACTCCTGTTCGAATCACCTAGTTGTGGTTTTGGGGTCACCTCTGTCGTGGTCGCTGTTTCTGAGTACTCGGTGTTAATGTGAATTCCATTATCCCCCTCGACTGCATCCTCCTCACTAGTCAACGACCATACGTAATCACATGCTTTGGATATATAATTTCCAGGCCAAGGAATATGTCTTTTTGAAAACTGAATTGTAGGCACAGGGAATAAATCGGTGGGCCAGATCTTTGTTTGTCTAGCATTTTCTGATGGCACATTCAAATTGACCGTGTCATCAAGTTTTCCAGTCGATACCGGTGATTGTTCATTCACAAGCTCCGGTGTGTCATTAGCCTCACTGGTTAATGACCAGACATAATCACAGGCCCTTGTAACACATTCACGCGGCCAAAGAATGAATCCCATTCGCGAACGAACTTTCGAACTCAGAGATGAACTCATGCTCACACCGCCTTTCTTCTCTTTTGACATTGGACTGCCAGCTTGAAAATCTGGGGTGTTCAAGACGAGTGAACCGACTGTTGAACTGAAAAGCATAATGGTGAATAGTCCAAGTTTGATTNAGAGCGAAACGAAACGAAATTACTCGGTAGCAGTTGTGTAAATTTGAAAAAGGCCAGTAGTGTTATGCGAGATGTCTACTGCAGCGACATTGCTTTCGTGTATCATCAACTACTTCATGCGAATTACAAACGGACATTATATATGTTCATGGGGTATGGTGACAAATAGATTTAAAGGCGAGATTCATACTTGTTCACGAGACAGTGCAACTAGTTTACCAACACTTTTTTCTCCTAATTGGAATACAGATGAGTGGAATATTGTTCGCAAATGGGTGAGAATGACGTGTTAATGTGTGTTTCAGTAGGTATAAGGCGGAGAGGGAAAGTTAGAACACGTGGTCATGCGAAGACAGGAAGTTAATAGACCGATTGAATAATACTGACGATTATCCAGAACAAAGTTGAAATTCATTATCCTAATGGAGGTGTGAAATGGGGGAGGTGTAATTGGTGTGTGTGGGGGGGTGGATGGTTTGAGTGAATGAGGCAGGGAGAGGAGAACGAAAGTCATAATGATGAGGTGAGGGGTAAAGGATAGGGTGGGGCGGGGGCGGATTAACTCCACAATAAAGCTAATGCGACCACCATCTACTTCTGAGCGCCTTTAAATCTAACTGTTACCATACCCCATAAACATATATAGTGTCCATTTGTAATTCGCATGAAGTAACTGATGATATGCGAAAGAAATGTCGCTGCAGCAGACATCTTGCATAACACTACTGGCCTTTTCAAATTCATTCGGGGAAATCATTGTTTCAAATTGTGTAAATGTCAGAACAGGATGTATTCCTTTGAAAACTCGTACTCATTTTATTTGTTATTCAATAAGGTAACACAATTTGCTAATTTCCACTGAACGCTGCTTTCTGAAATCAGCTGAGAGTTCAGTTACCGTATAAAATATTTCTAACCTGTGGCGTTTACTGATGTGGACAACAAAGGCACTCTCCTTCTAAATCTTTCTATATTTCTACTTCCGTATTCCCTACAACACCCAAAGATGGTCAGGAAGACGGACCCCGTGGAACAATGCGAAATGTGAGATTCGTGTGCTGATTAGAGAGGAAAACATGAATAATAGGGCGCGGGAGGGAGGGGACAAAAGTGTAGGATCACCTTATGGCGATAAACCTAAGCATCGAAATCTTTTGCAAAACCGGATGACCGTGCTAAAAGCTGATTGGCTTGTTTTCCCGATTGGGCAATGGAGGAATCTGCGAGTAGCGAATTCATGTGAATCAAATGCAATGGAGAATGTGATGCAACTTAAGTGTCGTGCCTTTCCATTCAGTCAAAATCTGATGAATTCGCATCGCATTCTGTCGATGCAATGCCATAAGGAGAAACGGTAATCAACGTAGGAAAGGTATAAATAATCACAGACCACATTAGACCACCAGACTAGGCAGGAGTATGAGAGACGTCGTACGACCGCGTGAAATAGTAGTGCATTTTAAATGTGAATGGGTCATGCCAAGCAATTAACTTAGTAAAATAAATGCAAATCAATACATTTAGCTCCATATGTTCCGTGGAGCTGGTGAAGGCTCTGATCGAATGCAGTGTTTCGAAACGATTGTTGCAAAGAATGTTCAGTGTTGTACCAGAGACGAAATATCAAATGTGAAGAGTTATATTGGTCTCACACCGGTGACTACGGGTGACACGCACACAGATACGGAAACAGACTGTGTTCACTTCACTGACGAAATGAATTAATTTTGATCGACTGGAAATGATTATGTATATTGTTGAAAAGATAAACGAATTTTCGCCCAAAGGAGTATTTACAGGAGTTCCGTCTACAGTTAAACTGGAAATAAGATTTTGCCATGCATTGTAGGGAGGAATAGATTGTTTCTTCCAACTGGAACACTGGACTACAAAATGACGTCGCATTCGAACACCGTGTTTATGCTGTCCACTACAAAGAGTGCACTTCATTTCGGCGGGATCCGGGATGTGCATCGTTCAGTCTGTGGCTCAGTCTAAACCAGATTGATAATCTCTGAGTTTCTGTTTCGCTACCTGTGGGATCACCAGCTGGACCAGAAACGTTATCCATGAATAAAGATGTGAGAATCCTTAAACGACACGATCCGTGCGGTAATAAAAGCATCTAATAAGACTTGCGGACTACTAAGTTACTTACTTACTAATTTAGAGAAGGAAAAAGTAGTTGCATTCACTGCTCATAAACTACAAAACGTTGACCGTTATTTCAAGTGATGCAGATCAGATCGAAGATAAATTTTGCCAAACCATGGGGTAAACTAGCTCTCTGATTGTACAAAGGTGAATAAGCGTTCCTCAAGCAAGAATTGGCAAATATCAATCAAAACGCAATCACATAACTTCGATTAGCAACTAGCGAACTTTGTTGGCACCCCCTTCTACTGAACGTTATACTTCCCAGAACGCTCAGTAAAGTTTCATGGCGAAATTCTCCCTTGTGCACCTCAATAGGTATTCCATCGTTCTGGCCATTTTGGATTTCGTTAAGGAACACAAAAGAGGAACATATGGAGAAAATAGTGACTAGTATACTGTTGTCACGCAATATATACACTTTTTACTTTTGTATCGATGCACGTAAAACACACGTATAACTTATTACGTTTATTCTTCAACCAAAACATTTCATTCATTATCCTGGAACTTCATTGACCATTAGTAGCTATTCGATCCGACCAGAATGCTCTCAGTGGTTGGACAGGAAGCGGTAAAACTTACCCATGACACGTTGGCTATCTTCTTTTTTNGGGGGGGCGGTGGAGGGGGGGGTATCACAATGGAACCGATAACTATCACAAAACCATTGCTCCTGTTTAATGACAGTACCATATTCGACTAATTATGATCAGAATCCACGATTACGTGTGCATACAATAAACGGAGGATATTACCAAGCTTTCTCCTTTTCACGGTGATATATCGCTGAAATATTATATGCAGCGACAACACAAAACTCAAACTCAGTGCAGTCTATGCCCATATGTCGATTATCCTTAACCCGATAAATGGAGAACGTAATTCTCATTATGAGGATGCAATAAAAGTGTGCCGAACGAAGAACTTGTCAGTTCGAACGGGGTAGAATGCAAACAGATGAAACATTTAATATGGTTCGTTCTGTTGCCGCACAGACATATTCAGTCGGTAAGGTCTGAAACCCGACTGACAACTTGTTCTTAGGCCGTGAGATCTAAATCTGCTTCCGTTCCTTAAGGTCAGTTCAGGTCAGATTGCACAGGACGGTAAAGGCGTTCGCCAACCGAGTGTCCAGATTCATGCTCCAGTCGGAACCAAGGTTCTTTCGGAGCTTCGACCTTTTGGTCGATTTCATCATCCTGAACAGCCTCCCTTTGTGAGTCCGTGTCAGTAAACAGGAGGTTATTCAAAAAGAAGAAGTATAGAACACCTACTGTCAATAGTGGGCAACTTAGAAAATCTCTGGATAGAGACTGATCCAGACCCCATCCTGTTTCTTTTTTGAATTCATCTACTGTCTTTCAGTCTAGCAGTGAAGCTGGTAGTTGGTTCCATCCGTCTATCACTACTCGTGCAGAAGTTCTCTAAGATTGAATTGGCTTCTGGGTTTCATTAGCTTCCAATGATGCCCCCTTGTTAACTCAAGTGGTGCTCAAGTAAACAGGCTGTCCGCCTGGAGGCCTGTCAGCCCTTCACTATTTTGAAGGTCTCATTAAAATCGTTTCTCAGGGCTCTCCTCTGCATGGAGAAATGCCTTATGGTTTCCAATCTCTCCTTATAAAATTTACCTTTCATTCCAGCGATCATCCTACTGGCTAACCTTTGCACCCCCTCAATGTAATAGATATCTTTTCTCAAATAAGGCACCCAAGCTGGCGGTTTAACTATGACCTAATATAGAGGCACAAAGACCTCTGCTTTCCTCAGTTATTGTTCACTATGGTTAATTCCTAAATACGTCTGCTTATTAATCTGATGTTAAACTGGACCTCGCGTTTGTATTCTACCTGTGCGGGCCCAGTTTCAATCCACTGTTGGATCGTTGGGTTGGAACGGCTGGCACTGTACAAGATGTTTGAAAATAACTGTACTGCTGTGATCAGAATTGTGCTGTAAATCGTTTGTCTGGATGTTTTCTCCATCAGCGGCGATAGGTCACAATGGTATGGACTTAAGATTACCAGTTTTCCACTGGGTTGATAAATTTGAGCCAAACGCATCTACTTGCACAGGTGATGAGCAGGTGGTGAGAAAAAAGATTTTATTTCTGCTTTGAATAAGTGATCTTAATGAAGTATGCCACCGACTAAGTGTCCGTTTGACCACGTACAAGAAGCGCCATGTTCGCGATACGAAATCGGCCAATCAGGAGAGTGCAGCACGACCACTCAAATGCATTCCGAGGACAAATAAAAATGATAAAAAGTGAGGAGCGGTTGAAGGAGAAGTGGAAACGTTTCCAAAGGTGCCACATTTTGAAGGTGCGACGTTCGATATTTCATTCGAATGTATTTTAAAATGTATACACTTGGGATGATATTGTCACCTCTAATCCGATGCTTTAGTGCAAAATGTAATGCAACTGGCGATTTATGAGTAATAATATAGAAAAAAGGAAAACATCATGAATAAAACGATCAATAATTGCAAAAGCGAAAATGCGAGGGGTGCAGATGAACGGAATTCTATTCTTAAAAGTGATCACCCATATTAGCACTCAACTAGCTCAAATTTATAATCCAGTGCCAATTCTGACATATAGTTAAGTATGAGCAAATGTGACCTAAAAGTGAAATAAAATCTGACGTGGACGATCCATTTTGGATAGTATGCTCAAACTTCAGATGATGCAGGATTTAATGAGAGGGATGGATTGAAGTTAACTGATAGCATACTTTGTTTTCCCTCCTTACTGTCGGGTCTGATAAGCCGACCGTTTCTTACCGAAGATGTCTCGTAAACAAAACCAACTCACCA